CTGAAGTTATCTCTATTTGTGTCATTTCTACTGAGTCAGATCCACTCAACTACAGTTTGATTGATATCATCTCAAGCAAACAACAAAATACACTGTCTGAAAATCTACACAACATATGTCAAACTCAAGGCCCGTGGGCCAAATCCGGCCCGTTGCATCATTTTATGTGGCCCGTGAGAGATGTGTGTTTCCAAATCTGCTAAATTAATGTTTGTTAATCTCTTTAAACTGTGAGTTTGTGCCACAGTTGTCGTACAGCATCGTCTCAGCACCGTGAGTTTCCACAAAAACAGATAGTTTAATTTAATAGGTGTAAAAAAAATGTCTCTTATCAGCTCTATTAGTTATTTTGCATTGCCTTCACTACCACAGTTTGGAACCATGATGTCATAATGACGGTGTTCCGGAACTTAAGCAAAGCCTGTAAATAGGAGTCAGAGCTCAGTTCACTTCACTTTGTTTCTGGACACACGAGGCTACTAGCTGAGAGTCAGACAGCAGCAAAAAAACTGGAGCACTTTGACCAAGCAAAGACAAAGTCTCCTGTACAGAGAAACACCATCTCTGGTAGAAACCAGACTGTCAACAGCTTTCTTCTCCATCAAGGTATGTGACTGTTTTCTCATAACTACATACATTTTAATTTACGTACTGAACAAATTCTGTATTTTTACTGAATATATATATTCAGTGCATGAATACTGAAGGCAAACAATCTGGTTCACTTCTACCAAAGCTCCAACACCACACTAAACATGTAAGACACATTTTGCTCTCAGTCTCACAGACTGACAGCAGAAGTTTGAACTATAAGAAAAAAGTCATTTGCAGGATGATTTTTCTCAGCAGTTTGTGCTGAGTCACTTTTAGTATCACGTGTAATATTTCATTTTCAGGTGTAATAAGTCAGTATAGAGTGCAGTACTTTGTGTTTCAGCTCTAACGTTTCCCTTCCATGTTTCATTACTTAGATACTTGTGACCCACCCTGTCAACACGTGGAGTCAAGCATGCAGCTGAAGAGGAAGCTGACTGATGACCTCCTGGACTGCACAGACCCCGATGCTCTCGCCCCACCAGCAAAGAGGAGGAGAGTCTGTGAAGACAAGCCGCCACGAAAACGGTGCTTGAGTGAGATTTACGCTGATCCCTCAGAGATCTTCTCCCCACCCAGCAAGAGGAGAAGAATCTCTGATGTGACACCTCACAGTGGAATCTCCACAGCTATCAGAGCCGCAGACTTCTCCTTCTCAATAGACCAGAGAACTGTCAAAGCAGCTGAGACCCAGACCAAAGTCTGGATCATCGGGTCCAGCTACATCCGACGAGGGCAAGAGGCAGCCAGACGAGAGTTTGGGGAGAACCTTGGCCTTAACACCAAGGTCTGCTGGTTCGGCAAGGGTGGCCTGAGATGGAGCGGCGTCATTCCACGTTTCTACGCCGAGCTGGCCACACAGTATCCCCCTGACATTTTGGTGGTCCACGCCGGAGGGAACGATCTGGGGCTCGTGTCTCCGTGGGATCATGCCGCCACCATTAAGGAAGACCTGGTGCACCTCCACAAGGCGTTCCCCTTCATGGCCATCGTTTTTTCCGCCATCAATGAACGTAAGGCCTGGAGATATGGGGACGCTGTAACCATCGATGGTGACCGTAAAGTGGTCAATGAGTGCATCAAGGAGGCTGCTGGCAGCTTCGGTGGAAGAGTTACTGAGCACCCTTCCCTGAGACACTTTAAAAAAGTGTTTCTTCCGGATGGGGTGCACTTTAACCGGCAAGGAAACAGAATTTTCCTGACGAACATCCTGAATGACGTCAGAGACATTCTGCAGCGAGCTGCTTCCAGCTACAAGTAAGTGTGTGCATTAAGTCCTATATTATTATTATTATTATCGTCATTCCATCTGAAATGATCACATTTTTAGAACTGTTTCTGCTCAACTAGCTTTGATTGGTCTCATATTTTAATAGCATAAATTATAGACATAATACAAATAATAAAACAGTGAAACATACATGTTGTCTTATGTAGAAGTTGAAGTTGCATATTAGTAAAATCCATCTATTTCTTTGTCCTCTGTAGGTCGTAAAGAACAAGACGACAGCCATCCTTGGCCACCAGCCATTGTTTTGTTTCTTTTCTTTTCTTTTTATAGTTATTTAGTTAGTTAGTCCTTTAGTTAGTATTTTGAATTCTTTAGTTAGTTCTTAAGTTAGTTATTTAGTTATTAAACTGTTTTTAGTTAGTTGTTAAGTTAGTTTTTTTGAATTCTTTAGTTAGTCC